CTTCTTTAATGGTGTATGGAAATGCAACACATTTCTGTACATTGATTTTGTATCCTGCAACTTTACTGAATTCATGTATCAGTTCCAGCAATTTTTTTGGTAGTCTTTTGGATTTTCTATATAAAGTATCATGTTATCTGCAAATAGTGACAGTTTGACTTCTTCCTTGCCAATTTGGGTGCCTTTCATTTCTTTGTGTTGTCTGATTGTTGTGACTAGGACTTCTAGTACTGTGTTAAATAATAGTGATGAGAGTAGACATCCATATCTGTCCTGACTATAGAGGAAAAGCTCTCAGTTTTTCCCCACTGAGGGTGATATTAGCCATGGAGTCTTTTATGTATGGCCTTTATTATGATGAGGTATGCTCCCTCAAACCCTTACTTCTTAAGGGTTTTTATCATGGATGTTGTACTTTGTCAAATGCTTTTTCTGTATCTATTGAAAAGTTTTATCCTTTCTTTTATTAATTTACTGTGTCACATTGATTGATTTGTGAATATTGAACCACCCTTGCAGCCCAGGAATAAATCCCACTTGATTATGGTGAATGATTCTTCTAATGTACTATTGGATTCAATTTGCTGGTATTTTATTGAGATTTTTTGCATCCATGTTCATCAGGGATATTGGCCCGTAGTTCTCTTTTTTAAATTCTTTTTTTTTTATTTATATTAGTCACAGAGAAAGAGAGAGAGAGGGGGGGGGGGCAGAGACACAGGCAGAGGGAGAAGCAGGCTCCATGCACCGGGAGCCCGATGTGGGACTCGATCCCGGGTCTCCAGGATCGTGCCCTGGGCCAAAGGCAGGTGCCAAACCGCTGCGTCACCCAGGGATCCCCCGTAGTTCTCTTTTTTGATGAGGTCTTTATCTGGTTTTGGTATCAGGGTAATGCTGGATTCATAGAGTGAATTTAGAAGTTTTCCTTCTCTTTCTCTTTTTGGAATATAGAAGAATAGATATTAACTCTTCTCTAAATGTTTGGTAGAATTCACTTCTAAAGCCATCTGGTCCTGGGCTTTTGTTTGTTGGGAGTTTTGGATTACTGATTTAACTTCTTGGCTGATTATCTGTCTGTACAAGTTTTTTATTTCTTCCTGTTTCAGTTTTGGTAGTTTATATGTTCCTAGGAATTTATGCATTTTTTCCAGGTTGTCTAATTTGTTGGTGTGTGGTTTTTCATAACATTCTCTTAAATTGTATTTCTGTGGTGTTGGTTGTTATTTCTCCCTTCTCATTTGTGAGTTTATTGATTTCAGTCCTTTTCTTTTTGATAAGTCTGGCTAGGGGTTGATCAATTTTATTGATTTTTTTATATAGTATTCTTTTTTTTTAAAGATTTTTATTTATTTATTAATGAGAAACAGAGAGAGAGAGAGAGAGAGAGAGGCAGAGAGACACAGGCAGAGGGAGAAGCAGGCTCCACACAGGGAACCCGATGTGGGACTCAATCCGGGGTCTCCAGGATCATGCTCTGGGCCAAAGGCAGGCGCTAAACTGCTGAGCCACCCAGGTTGCCCAATTTTATTGATTTTTTTTTTCAAAGAACCAGATCATGGTTCCACTGATCAATGTTCTATTGGGATTTTTTAGTTTTCTTATGTATCATTTAGTTTTGCTCTAATCTTTATTATTCCCTTCCTTCTGCTAGTTTTAGGTTTTGTTTGTTGTTCTTCTTCTAGCTCCTTTAGATGTAAAGTTAGGTTGTTTATTTGAGATTTTTCTTGCTTCTTGAGTTAGGCCTCTTATGCTATAAGCTTCCCTCTTAGTACCACTTTTGGTGCTTCCAAAGCTTTTGAATTGATGTCTTTCATTATCCTTTGTTTCCCTTTATTTTCTTATTTCTTTTTTTTGTTTCCTGGTTGACCCATTCATTTGTTTAGTGGCATGTTATTTAACCTCCATGTATTTGTAGTTTTTCCAGATTTTTTTCTTGTGGTTGACTTCCATTTTTATAGTGTTGCGGTCAGAAGAGATGCATGGTATGACCAATCTTTTTTAATTTGTTGAGGCTTATTTTGTGACCTAATATGTGATCTGTTCTGGAGAATGTTCCATGTACACTTGAAAAGAATGTGTATTTTGTTGTTTTAGGATGGAATGTTCTAAATATATCTGCTAAATTGGTATGTTCCAGTGTGTTATTCAAAGCCATTGTTTCCTTGTAGATTTTTTGTTTAGATGGTCTGTACATTGATATAAGTGGACTGTTAAATTCCCCTACTATTTCTGTATTATCATAAATTAGCTCCTTTATGTTTCTTATTAACCATTTTATATATTTAGGAGCTCCCATACTGGTGTCATAAATATTTACAATTGTTAGATCTTTTGTTGGATAGTCCCCCTTATGATGATATAGGGCCCTTCATCTCTTGTTACAGTCTTTGGTTTAAAATCTAGTTTGTCTGATATAAGTGTTGCTATTCTGGTTTTCTTTTGACGTCCATTTGCATCATAAATGATAAATGTTTTTCCATCCCCTCACTTTCAATCTGCAGGTATCTTTAGGTATAAAATGAATCTCTTGTAGGTAGCATATAGATGAGTCTTGTTTTTTTATCCATTCTGACACTCTGTGTCTTTTGACACAGAGCATTTAATCAATTTACATTCAGAGTAATTATTGATAGATTTGTATTTAATGCCATTTTATTATTTGTTTTGTCATTGTTTCTGAAGATTTTCTGTGTTCCTTTCTTTGTCACTTTGGGTCTCTCCTTTCCACTCAAAGAGTCTCCTTTAATATTTCTTGCAGGAGTGGTTTAGTGGTCACAAACTCCTTTAGTTTTTGTTTGTTTGGGAAACTCTTTATCTCTCCTTCTATTTTTTTTCCTCCTATTTTGAATGATAGTCTTGCTATCATTGGATAGAGTATTCTGGTTGTAGATTTTTCTCATTCAGCACATTTAATATATCATGCCACTCTCTCCTATCTTGCCAAGTTTCTGTTGAGAGATCTGCAGTTAGCCTTATGGGTCTTCCCTTGTAAGTTAGGGACTTCTTTTTTTTAATTTTTATTTATTCAAGAGAGAGAGAGAGGCAGAGACACAGGAAGAGGGAGAAGCAGGCTCTGCGCAAAGAGCCTGATGTGGGACTCTATCCCAGGACTCCAGGATCACTCCCTGAGCTGAAGCCAGACGCCCAACTGCTGAGCTACCCAGCCATCCCAGTTAGGGACTTCTTTTGTCTAACTGCCTCTGGATTTTTTCTTTATCACTGCATTTTCAAATTTAATTACAATATGCCTTGATGTTGTCCTGTCTTTGTTGATTTTAATGGGAGCTCTCTTGCCTCCTGGATCTGGATAGCTGTTTCCTTCCCCAGATTAGGCAAGTTTTCAGCTATTATTTCCTCAAATAAATTTTCTGTGCCCTTTTCTCTCTTGTTCTTCTGGGACTCCTGTGATATGAATGTTATTATGTTTGATGGAGTTACTGAGTTCCCCTAGTCTATTCTCATCACCCATAGTTGTTCTTTCTCTCCTTTGTTCTGCTTCCTTATTTTCTATAATTTCCTCCAGCCTTGTGTTCATTACATCTTGTTTCCAATCTCCATTATTGCATTTTTCATTTCTGATTGTTTTTTAACTCTTTTATCTCTGTGGTAAAGGCCTCCCTGAAGCCTTCCATTCTTCTCTCTCACCCAGTAAGTATCCTTATGATTGTTGTTTTAAATTCTCCATCAGGCATATTACTGACATCTGTTTCAATTAGATCTTTGACCATGACCTTATCTTGTTGCTTCATTAAGGATGAACTTCTTTATCTTGACATTATTGTTTAAGTCTCTTTTTCTCTGTGTTAAAAAAGCGTATCATGTGTCCTGATTTTGAGAGTAATGGCTTTTTGAAGAAATGGTTAGATAGTGCCCAGGGCCTGGTGCTTCAGAGATTGTCACTGCTGTGTGTTGTGTGCACTCTGCTGCTGTGTTTGGCTACTCTATTCTTGTCTGCAGAGGTTCTTCTTGTGTGCAGTGGGCAGTTTAACTGGAGTGTGGCAAGTTTTAACTAGCTGTACTCTGGTCTATTTGTTAAATGAGACCCTGATACTACTTCCACTAGAACTGAAGCCTCGCAGAACTCTAGCTGGGAGATATGGTATAGATAGGGTCGACATGTCTTCTCTCTTCCCTGCTGTTCTGGCACTGAGGCACACTTGTCCAAGAAGGGCAGTACTGGCAGAGCACAGGGGCTTGGGACCTGGTATAAGCAGGTTCAGGCAGCCAGTGTTGGCACAGTGCTGTTACCCACAGGTGGCTCTGTGTTTATGCTGAGGGGCAGGGTTGTAAAATAGAGCCTGCTGGCTCCTTTGTCCCTGGAGAGGCAACTCTGCAAATGCCACCTCTCACAGATGCTCTCCAAGAAGAGCAGTCTCCCCATGTGACCTAGGCGTTCCTCAGATGGTGCTACGTACCCCTGAGCTGCTTGCCTACCTTCTCTCCAGGAGTAGGGCAGCAGCCTCAGGTCTCTATACCAGCCAAGCCTGCCAGCCTTTAAAACTCCAGTGTTCAAGCCCTGCTATTTACAAAAACTCACAAAAAATCAACCCCTCTCATTTTCCCAGCCAATGGTTGTGGTGAAATGTTCTCTGTGTGAGTTCCCCTGAGCACTCCCATTTCTCTCACCATTGTCTGAGACCAATGCTCTCTCCCCTCCACAGCACTCAGGATCTGTTTCTCCCCCAAACCATGTCTCTGCACTTCCTTGATATGGCCTCTTCTCCCCTTCTAGTTGTACAGTTTGTTCTATCCATCCTCAAGTCAATTTATTGGGTATTCAGAATGATTTGGTAATTATCTTGTTGTATTTGAAGGATGAGACGAGCCTGTAGAGTTCTCCTACTATGCCTCCATCTTAATAAATGTTATTTTATTTTATTTTTAAAGAATAAAAAAATAAAAGTAAAGTACTTGTTGGAAATATTAAAAAAATAAAAAGAATATATGAAGATACAAACATATTTTACTTAATTATTATTCCTTTCCTCCCAATCTCATAGCTACACCCTTGCTGGTCCCGACACCATTGAATGCCTGGCCAATGGCAAGTGGAATGGAAGTAACCAGCAGTGTCTGGCTGTCTCCTGCGATGAGCCCCCCAACGTGGAACATGCCTCTCCAGAGACTGCCCATCGGTTATTTGGAGACATTGCATTCTACTATTGTTCAGATGGTTACAGCTTGGCAGACAATTCCCAGCTCCTTTGCAATGCCCAGGGCAAGTGGGTTCCCCCAGAAGGTCAGGCCATGCCCCATTGTATAGCTCATTTCTGTGAAAAACCTCCATCTGTTTCCTATAGCATCTTGGAATCTGTGAGCAAAGCAAAATTTGCAGCAGGGTCAGTTGTAAGCTTTAAATGCACAGAAGGTTTTGTACTGAATACCTCGGCAAAGATTGAGTGTTTGAAAGGTGGGCAGTGGAACCCTTCCCCGATGTCCATCCAGTGCATCCCCGTGCGGTGTGGAGAGCCACCAAGCATCATGAATGGCTATGCGAGTGGATCAAACTACAGTTTTGGGGCCATGGTGGCTTATAGCTGCAACAAGGGGTTCTACATCAAAGGGGAGAAGAAGAGCACCTGCGAAGCTACAGGACAGTGGAGTAGCCCCACACCTACATGCCACCCTGTGTCTTGCAATGAACCGCCTAAGGTTGAGAATGGCTTTCTGGAGGTAAGAGACTAATGAGCAAGGGGTCCATGGCTCTCATCACTGACAGCTAGACCACATGGCTAACCTGGGATTCAGAGGCAGAACACTGAACAGATTAATTGTTGAAAAACAGAAGTGGCTAAACCTCTAGCTGGTGAATATTAGAGAGAAGTCTTTTTAATCTATAGCTTTCTACCTTCTCCTAGCATATAGATGGTTGAAGTGCTTTGTAGCACTACCTTAGCCCTAACTATGAAGTTAGAATGAACCAATTTTAATACAGAATTATTTTCCTTTATGTAGAAGTCATCCCAAGATGGATGTATATTTTATAGAAATCAAGGCCCAATGGAACCTAGAGATATCTGGTATCATTTCTAATTTTTAGACAAAAGATGGGGTGAATCATCTATTAACTATAATGCAGTTTTTATGGTTTTCTTTCAGCAGACCTAAAGGTAGTTTCACCAGGACAAAGGGTGAAACTTTCATTTACTCCTTTCGCATTAACATGTGCCTAATATGTTTCTTCAAATTAAGGGCTATTTGAAAGAGACAATATTCTAATTAAATACTATGTAAAAACCCACATATACATAATACCTTTTCTCCTTTATATTCTCAAACAGCAGTAAACACTTGCTGTTTCACATCTTTGCTCTGCTGTAGTAGGGCTCCACTGGAATAGGGTATATATAGATAAGGAGGCTTTCATTTGTTCATTTAACAAATATCTCTGTAGCTCCTACTGGGTGCCAGGTAAGCATTGGAGAACTAGTATTTAACAATGCAGATTAGGTCTGTGATGGCATGGCACTTACATGTATGTAGGGCACCCAAGAAATAAATAAGTGAACAAAGAATTATGTCCACTAGAACAAGAAGTTCACTATAGCATGCAAGCTAGCTAGCCTTTACCATGATAAGTTTTCTTAAAGTTTTCATAACTAATTCATCTTTGGTGCTGCCTAAAAATGACCTGTTAATCATATTAGTCACTTATTTATTTAAATGTTGAGATCCTGAGTATCAACTTTTTGGTTAGAAGATAAAATATTGCTTTTTAATTTCTCATCTTTATAGCCACAATTTTAAAATTTGTGTTAAGAATGAACACGAAACTTTGATAGCACTCTTTGGAATATATCCATGAAAAATATTTTATTTGCTTTTTTTAAACAATATTAACAAATAAATGTACGTTGTATATGCATGTTTCCTTTTCGGTGGTTAAAGCAACGAACTACAGCATTGCTTTGGTGAGCAAGATTTTTTTGAACTTACTAACTTATAATTTTTGGTAGTGATCCACCAAATCATCAATTTAAAATGATTATCTTTTACTTATTGTAGGCTCAGCCCAAGGATAAACATTTCTGTAGTGGGGATTACCTAATTTGACCCATCCTTTTCACTCACTAAAAGTAGAGTAGACCTATTAAAAAACAAAACAAAACCATAAATCCTTATTTGCTTATGTCTTAACTGATTTGTCTTAACATAGGCATTTTAATCTACTTTTTATCATTCAATGTATTTAGTTAATTATATTATTTTACAAATTATACTTAATTGTTTTCTCCCTATTATACAGCATACAACTGGCAGGATCTTTGAGAGTGAAGTGAGATATCAATGTAATCCAGGCTACAAATCTGTTGGAAGTCCTGTATTTGTCTGCCAAGCCAATCGCCACTGGCACAGTGAATCCCCACTGTCATGCGTCCCTCTTAACTGTGGAAAACCTCCCCCAATCCAGAATGGCTACATGAAAGGAGAAAATTTTGAAGTAGGATCCAAGGTTCAGTTTTTCTGTAATGAGGGTTTTGAGCTCATTGGTGATAATTCTTGGACATGCCAGAAATCTGGCAAATGGAATAAGAAACTAAACCAGAAGTGTGTGCCTGCCAAGTGCCCAGAGCCACCTCTCTTGGAAAACCAGCTTGTCCTAAAGGAGTTAGCTACTGAAGTAGGAGTGGTGACATTGTCTTGTAAAGAGGGACATGTCCTTCAGGGGCCCTCTGTCCTGAAATGCTTGCCATCACAGCAATGGAATGATTCTTTTCCTGTTTGTAAGATGGTTCTTTGTCTCCCACCTCCCCTCATTTCCTTTGGTGTCCCTGCTCCTTCTTCTGCACTTCATTTTGGAAGTACTGTCAAGTATTCTTGCGTGGATGGATTTTTCCTAAGAGGGGATCCCACCACTTCCTGTCAAGCTGATGGTACCTGGAGTTCTCCATTGCCAGAATGTGTCCCAGTGGAATGTCCCCACCCTGAGGAAATTCTCAATGGTATCATCGATGTACAAGGTCTTGCCTATCTCAGCACAGCTCTCTATACCTGCAAGCCAGGCTTTGAGTTGGTCGGAAATACTACCATCCTTTGTGGAGAAAATGGTCAATGGCTTGGAGGAAAACCCACCTGTAAACCCGTTGAGTGCCCAAAGCCCAGGGAGATTTCAAATGGCAAATTCTCTTACACACACCTGCACTATGGGCAAACCATTACATACTCCTGTCGCCGAGGCTTCAGGCTTGAGGGTCCCAAAGCCTTGACTTGTTTGGAGACAGGTGACTGGGATATGGATGTCCCATCATGCAGTGCCATCTACTGTAATCCCCCACAACCCATTGAAAATGGTTTTGTAGAAGGTGCAGATTATGGCTATGGGGCCATGATCATCTACAGCTGCTTTCCTGGGTGGCAGGTAGCTGGTCATGCCATGCAGACCTGTGGAGAGTCGGGATGGTCAAGTCCCATACCAAAATGTGTACCTGTAGACTGTGGTCTTCCTCCTCATATTGATTTTGGAGAATGTACTAAGGTCAAAGATGGTCAGGGACATGTTGACCAAGAAGAAGATATGATGGAGATTCCATATCTGACTCCTCGCCCTCCTCATCATATGGCGGCAGTGGCAACCTGGGAAAACACAAAAGGATCTCCTGCTACACATTCAGCAAACTTTCCATATGGCACCATAGTTTCATACACCTGTAATCCAGGATATGAAATTTTAGGGAGCCCTATGCTGATCTGCCAGGAAGATGGAACTTGGAATGGCAGTGCACCATCCTGCATTTCAATTGAATGTGACTTACCAGTTGCTCCTGAAAATGGCTTTTTGCATTTTACAGAGACTACTATGGGCAATGCTGTACAGTATATTTGCAAACCTGGACACATTCTACTGGGCTCGGACATGAGATTTTGTCTACAGAATAGAGAATGGAGTGGTACTTCCCCAAGGTGTGAGGCCATTTCATGCCCAAAACCAAATCCAGTTATGAATGGCTCTGTCAAAGGAAGTAACTACACATACCTGAGTGTGTTGTACTATCAGTGTAATCCTGGGTATGTGTTGAATGGCCCTGAGAGGAGAACATGCCAACAAGATAAAAAATGGGATGAGAGTGAGCCAACTTGCAGTCCTGTGGACTGTGGTTCACCTCCAATCTCAGCCAATGGCCAGGTGAAAGGAAACCAATATACATTCCAAAAGGAGATTGAGTATACTTGCAATGTAGGGTTCTTCCTTGAGGGAGACAGGAGTCGTGTTTGTCTTGCTGATGGACATTGGAGTGGAACCACTCCCATCTGTGTGCCTGTCAGATGTGTCACCCCACCACAAGTGGCAAATGGAGTGATGGACGGCCTGGACTATGGATTTGGAAAGGAAGTGGTGTTCCACTGTCAGGATGGCTACATGCTGCATGGTGCCCCAAAACTCACCTGTCAGTCAGATGGCAACTGGGATGCAGAGTTTCCTTCCTGTAAACCAGTCAACTGTGGCCCTCCTGAAGATCCTCCCCATGGCTTTCCTAATGGCTTCTCCTTTTATCATGGAGGGCATATACAGTATCAGTGCTTTCCTGGTTATAAGCTCTATGGAAGTCCTTCACGAAGGTGTCTTTCTGATGGCTCCTGGAGTGGCAGCCCACCTTCCTGCCTGCCTTGCAGGTGTTCCACGCCAGTAATTCAAAATGGAGCTGTCAATGGGACAGATTTTGGCTGTGGAAAGGTAGCCCAGATTCAGTGCTTCAAAGGCTTCAAGCTCCACGGAGTTTCTGAAATCACCTGTGAAGCCAATGATCAGTGGAGCTCTGGCTTCCCACGCTGCGAACACACTTCTTGTGGTTCTCCCCCAGTGATACCAAACGCATTCATCAGTGAGAGTGGCACTTTGGAGGAAAATGTGATAACCTACAACTGCAGATCTGGGTATGTCATACAAGGGAGTTCAGATCTGGTTTGTACAGAGAAGGGGACGTGGAGCCAGCCTTATCCAGCCTGTGAGCCCTTATCCTGTGGATCCCCACCATCTGTCGCCAATGCAGTGGCAACTGGAGAGGCACACGTTTACGAAAGTAAAGTGAAACTCAGGTAAGACCATGGCTCTAGAGTCTCCAAAAGATGCAGGAGAATTGTAAAATAAAAAGCGCTAGGTCAAAAATTTAGCTAATTGGGAAAATACCATCTCTAGACTGCTCTCCAAAAACTGAAGCTTTTAATACTTGGCCTTATTCTATTCATAATTGTGTAGAAATCTGTTGGCTACAAAAAATAAATTTCTACATTTTCCGATTGTAGTTCCTAAAATAATTATGATTATCATATTCTGTTGACCTTCATGAAACAGTGAGATCCTCTAGCTGGCTTTTTTATCTTTTAAGTCATCAGGCTCTTTTTCCTTTCAAAAGTCATGCTGGTAAATTTCTTTATGATATCACTTTATGGTTATATTCATACAAGCAGATATTGGGGAAATAAGGCAAACACTAAAGAATTCAGGTCAAAAAGGCACATACTTTCATTGATCAATATAAATAGGAAGATATCTTAAGGAGATTTCCAACCTATGCTATTTGAACAAACTAAACTAATGCACAAATAGTGATTTTTGCTGTAAAGTTCCCTCTCTACAATGCATTATTAAAAAGAAATTAGAGATATGGAATAAACTTATAAATTAAATTTTTATTGGAATAAATGCCCGTAAGATATCTCAACCCTCTAAATCAATGTAGATTTTAGTCACATCTTGGAAGGAATTATGGATTATCCTTCACATATTGGCTTCTTAGATTTTAATAATTCACTAGCTCTTCTTAAACATGCTTGTTGTGGACATTTTAGGCCTACCTTCATCTTCTCCTAATTGCAGTAAGGAGGAGACCCAAGGGAGTATCATCAATGATCAGAAAGCTGAAGACCGGTTGCTCATGCACCGAGAAGAAAAACAAAAATTATCCCTTGCTTTTGAAATACATTTTCAGTTTTCTATTTGGATGTTGATGTGTGAGGTGTCTAGAAAAATCACATCACCTGTTTCTCAAGAGCCCCCTGTTTGCTATGCCTTGTCATGTTTGATTATGTTTTAGATCTTTACTTGTAGTAAACAGATTACAAGTTTGTGAAACATGTGACTCCTATCTAGTATAGTGAATTGTGAAATTTAAAAAATATATACACTTTTAAAATGCTAATTAGCTAAATGGTTTAATTTAAAAGGCAGTGTCATATAGTAGTGGAAGCATGGATTCTAGAACCAGAATCCCTAGGCAGGAATCTCAGTTCTGTTGCTTCCTGGGGAAGTTATTTAGTGTCTTTGATGTCAGTTTCATCATCTACCAAATGGGAATCAAGATAAACATACCTACTCATCGGGTTGACATGAGAAATAAGTGAATTAATATTTGTGGAGCACTAGAACAGTGACTGGAATTTAATAAGTGCCATGTAAACATATGCCAAATAAATAATTGCGAGCTTTAAAAATCACAGAACATTCTACAGCCAGGTTGATTTGAGTGTGAACACCAAATACTATTGTTACATAATAATATCTACTACTCAGGATTAAAAGATACCCTATATAAAGGACTTAGAACAGTGTTTGGCACAAAGTAGATCCTCAATAAATATTAATTGTTATATTCTTATTAGTTCTGAGTCTGTTTTGTACTACATCTAGAATTTTTTGAACTGTTAGCTATTTTCAGAATAAAAGTGAATTCAATGTTGATCTAATCTACAAGGGTAATAATTTCAAGAACACTTTTTTGAAGACTTTATTTATTCATGAGAGACACAGAGAAAGAGAGAGAGAGGCAGAGACACAGGCAGAGGGAGAAGCAGGCTCCATGCAGGAAGCCCGACGTAGGACTTGATCCCGGGTCTCCAGGATCATGTCCTGGGCTGAAGGCAGCGCTAAACTGCTGAGCCACCAGGCTGCTCCTGCCAAGAACATTTTTTTAATAGTATTATTTTTTTAAAAAAATTTTTTATTGGAGTTCAGTTTGCCAACATATAACACTCAGTGCTCATCCCGCCAAGTGCCCCCCTCAGTGCCCATCACCCAGTCACCCCAACCCCCCGCCCACTTCCCCTTCCACTACCCCTTGTTCATTTCCCAGAGTTAGGTGTCTCTCATGTTTTGTCACCCTCAGTGATATTTTCACTCATTTTCTCTCCTTTCCCTTTATTCCCTTTCACTAAGGACATTTAAATCGACATTAGGCTTGGCTAATCCTTAATGTGGACAGCTAAGGACTGATCTGCTTGTCATTGCTATGTTGGTGTTTTTGCATGGTGATGCCATTCCCTTGACATTTGAATCAGTTTTAATATATCACATACAATGCCTACTAAACTTTGTAGACAGCATCTTAAATCCAGGATAAGTCACCAAGTACATCGTACTCTCTAGGTCACTCATTTTGATTTTCCATTACAGATGTCTGGAAGGTTATGTGATGGATACAGATATAGATACATTCACCTGTCAGAAAGATGGTCATTGGTTTCCTGAGAGGATCTCCTGCAGCCCTAAAAAATGTCCTCTGCCAGCAAATATAGCACACATACTTGTTCAGGGGGATGATTTCAGTGTGAATAAGCAAGTTTCTGTGTCGTGTGCAGAAGGGTATATCTATGAGGGAGTTAACATATCAACGTGCCAGGTAAGACTCTCTGTCCTAGAACGTGTACCTTTGACTCATTTATATATATTAAATGTGTGTCTGTCCACAGTAGTACCTTGCTATCCAAAAAAGGGGAAAAAATGTCTCAAGTTTCCAATCATGTCAAGAATTTGAGAAGTTTTTTGGTAGAAATATTACAGAACATACCTTTCTTTTCAATATTCCTATCTTTAAGAAAATTCCAAGAGTAGGTGAAAAGTGCCAACGTGAGATAAAATGTTAAAATATCTATAACAAAATATTCGTGAAAAATTAACCAGAAGTTAGATGGTCTACACGTAAATGCAGTAAAGAGTATCCTTTTTTGTTTGTTTGTTTTTGTTGTTGTTTTTTAGTAAAGAGTATCCTTGTGTGGGAAATGAGCCCTGATTGATGCCAATTGTTTCCAGTTTTAGTTAAAAAAACAAAAGTTGTAGAAACAGTAACTTGGATTCAAATTCTGTCTCTGTTACTTACTACTTGTGTGACTTTAAGGAAGTCACTTAAAATGTTTGAGCCTTGTTTCCTTATTTGAAAAACTGTATATAAAAAAACTGTATATAATAATGTATTATTATAATTATACAAAAAATTATAATAATATATAAAACTGTGTATAATAATATGTGTCTTGTATGGTTGGAACAAGAAACTAGAGAGTCAAGAAGGGAAAAGTGTCTAAATCAGCACCATAGAGAGCAGATATCCCTAACGCATCACCTTCTCCTTGCTTACCTGAGATGGACCAGAAAAAGAAAAATAAAATGAATTACTGATATAGTCTTCTGTGCTGGAGTTGGGGGAGGGAGGAGTTGAAAGGGGGACGGTTGCATGGTATAGAAATGACTTTTACCTTAAACATTCTTTTGAATTCCATCTCAAATATTGACAGGCTCTGTGATGACCTATTACCCCAACTTGTTTTCTTTATTTAAATATGTCCCCTGTAGGACCCTGACATAATGGTAACTATGTTGTTTTTCTTTTTGGTTAGTGTGTTGCTATTGGTTTGGGGTTTTTTTGGGGGGGGGGGACTCAGTAATTTATTTTTAATAACCCTTATTACTTTCTCCACATAAGGTATAACCCCTCACCCTCACACAACTGAGTTTTAGGTTGAATTTTAGTCTGAAAAGTACAATAGGTCCTTTCTAAGTGTTTAAATGCAGAAATTCTCTAAAACTCTGTTCAGTGCCTAGAAATATTTTATTTTGCTACAACAAAATGATTCTGTACTTCATAGAACAAATAGATGGATGAGAAGATTAATAGGAATTTTGAAGGGTAAATACTGAAGGAGATCCAGCCTTTCCCGAAGTTAAGACATATTACAGAATTACAAAGGTCCTATCAGTGTGGTTTTGGTATAGATTTGGCAGACAGGAAAAATAGTAGAATGGAAGAAATAAATCAAAAGTACATCCTGATAAAGGACTCATCACAAGCCTATGAGGGGAATCATTAATAAATTATTCTGAAAAAAAATTATTCTGATATAATGAAGTAGCCATTATAGGGAAAAATTAAAATTAACCAAAACAGATCCTGGATATATCAAAAGAAACCAATACTACGTAGTTTTTAAAAGTGGATAGTAATGCCCAGAATAATTTATGCAGAAATATATATTTATCGAAGCATTATTTCTGTATTGAAAAGTTAGATTCAACTTCTATTTCCAACATTAGGGGAATAGTTAATTATGAGGCAGACACACATATAAAATTAATTATGCATCATATGTAGAATAAATGTCCTGTTTTAGACTGTTATCCAGCTCATGTACTATTTCCTCAAAGAAAACAAAAAATACTAGCAAGAAAATAACAGTCAAGGGAAACATCTGGTTATGCCTCACTTTCCCCAAACAGAAGGCTGAAAGATGTTAACTCTGACTGTGGTGGTGGGGAAGTAGAGTGAAATGTAAGGACACATTCGTATCAGTCATGGAATATTTGTGTCAACCGCCCAGTCCTTCATCATAACGAAAACAACTCCTTGGTATTCTTGATTTTTTTAATGGATTCTATTAGGAAGAAAATGCTTATTTTCTGTGCTTGAGAAATGTCTAAAATTGTTCAGCGATAATTAATGAGACCATCTAATAATTAATGTGTGTTTTTTCAGGCCACAGATAACATGTATCAGAAGTAGAACCAAGTTCTAGCTTCTTTTGACCATCATTTTGGGGATTATTCTGCTATGCCAATATTTGCAAATTTCTGAGTTCATATGTATTAACCCCTTAATGTAACTTCTAATCTGTCATTTGTCATTTAGCTTGATGGAACCTGGGAACCACCATTTTCTGATGAATCTTGCAGTCCAGTTTCTTGTGGGAAACCTGAAAGTCCAGAACATGGGTTTGTGTTTGGCAGTAAATACAGTTTTGAAAGCACAGTTATTTATCAGTGTGAAACCGGCTATGAATTACAGGTATGTGAACAAGTTGTTTAGCTAGAATTCATTTGTTTTTCCAACATATATACATTGGAGAATTTTTAGTATTCGCACCAGTTTGTTTCTCTGATTTTGGTCCTAAAATATTTTTTGTACTCTGTTACTGTATATTTGAACACTTTCCAAGAAACATTTAAAGTGCCTTATAATTTTAAAAAACAAACTAAGTCTCAAAAACAAAAACAGCAGAGCCATGAAAAGGAAGAGGAAGCTAGTATACCAGCCACAAGACTGATTCTGTTCTTTAGTTGGCCATTTAAACTTGTGTTTTGGCTTGTGGCAAGTGTGGCCTGAAAATCCTCAGAGCAGTTCTAGCCAAATACTAAATTAGGTCTCAAGACGACTCCTTGTTTATAATTAATATTATAAACCCCATCAGCAACCCCTATGTCTCCCTATTTACTTTGGTGGGAAGGCTGCAGTTAATTTTTTTAAGTTCCTTTTTATTTTTTAATCACTCAGTGCTCTTTATGATAAGTACTCCTTAGTCCTTATCTCCTATTTCACCCATCTCCCCACCCCCCCAACTCCCCTTAGGTAGCCATTGGTTTGTTCTCTGTAGTTAAGAGACTTTCTTCATTTGTCTCTTTTCCCCTATGTTCCTTTGTTTTCTTTCTTAAAATCTACATATGATTGAAACCATATGGTATTTGTCTTCCTCTGATTTATTTCACTTAGCATTATACCCTCTAGATCCATCCATGTCACTGTAAATGGCAAGATTTCATTCTTTTTATGGCTGAATAATATTCCATTATAATATACACCACATCTTCTTTATCAATTTATTCATCAATGAATGGATATTTGGGCTACTTCTATGTCTTGGCTATCGTAAATAATGCTGCAATAAATGTAGGGGTGTATATACCCCCCCTTTTGAATTAATGTCTTTGTATTCTTTGGGTAAATACCCAGTAGTGTGATTGCTGGATCCTAGGGTGGTTCTACTTTCAACTTTTTGAGGAACCTCCATAATGTCTTCCACAGTGGCTGCACCAGTTTGCCTTTCCACCAACAGTGCAAGTGGGTTCTTATTTTCTACATACTCGCCAATACTTGTTGTTTCTTGTGTTTTTATTTTAGCTCTTCTGACAGGTGTGAGATAATATCTCATTGTAGTTTTAATTTATATTTCCCTAATGATGAGTGATGAGCATCTTTTCATATGCCTGTTGACCTTCTCTGTATGTCTTTTATGGAGAAATGTCTGTTCATGTCTTCTGCCCATTTTTAATTGAATTATTTGGTTTTCTGGGTGTTGAGTTATATAAGGTCTTTATATATTTTGGATGCTAACCCTTTTTCAGATATTTCATTTGCTATATCTTCTCCCATTTTGTAGCTTGCCTTTTAGTTTTATTGATTGTGGTTTTTTTCATTGTACAGAAGCTTTTTATTAAGATTTTTATTTTCAAGTAATCTCTACATCCAACAGATTTTCATAATATTATCTTATAATTGTTTATATTTCTATGGTATTGGTTATTATTTCTTCTCTCTCATTTATGATTTTATTTATTTGAGTCTTTCTCTTGTCTTTTTGATAAGTCTGGCTAGGGATTTACCAATTTTACTGATTTTTTTTCAAAGAACAAGCTCATGGTTCCATTGATCCATTCTATTGTTTTTTTTTTAGTTTCTACATCAGTTAGTTCTGCTCTAATCTTTATTGTTTCCTTCCTTCTCCTGGTGTTAGGTTTTGTGTGTTGTTCTTTTTCTAGGTCTTTTAGGTTTAAGATTAGATTGTTCATTTGAGATTTTTCTTGCTTCTTGAGGTAGGCATGTACTGCTATAAACTTCCCTCTTACTACCACTTTTGGTGCTTCCAAAGCTTTTGAACTGATGTTTTTTTCATTTTCATTTGTTTCCCTTTATTTTCTTATTTCTTCTTTTATTTCCTGGATGACCCATTCATTTGTTTAGTACCATGTTATTTAACCTCCATGTATTTGTGGTTTTTCCAGATTTTTTTCTTGTGGGTTGACTTCCATTTTTATAGCATTGTGGCCAGAAAAGATGCATCATATGACTTCAATCTTTTTTAATCTGTTGAGACTTGTTTTGTAACCTAATATGTGGTCTGTTCTGGAGAATGTTCCATGTACACTTGAAGAGAATGTGTATTTTGTTGTTTTAGGATGGAATGTTCTGACTATATCTGTTAAATCCATCTATTCCAGTGTGTCATTCAAAGCCATTGTTTCCTTGTTGATTTTGTTTAGATGATCTGTCTGTTGACACAAGTGGAACGTTAAAACCCCCTACTATTATTATATTATTATCGATTAGCTCCTTTATGTTTGTTATTATTTTATATATTTGAGTGCTCCCATGTCGGACACATAAATATTTACAATTGTTATATCTTCCTGCTATATTGTCCCCTTTATTATTATATGGTTTCCTTCTTTTGTCTCTTGTTACAGTCTTTGTTTAAGTCTGTTTTTTTCTGATATTAGTATCTCCACTCTTTCTTTTGACATCCAGGTACATGACAGATGTTTCTCTATCCCCTCACTTTCAATCTGCAGGTATCTTTAGGTCTTAAATGAATCTCTTATAGGCAGCATATAAATGGGTCTTCTTTTTTAATCTATTATGTCATCCTATGTCTTTTGATTGGAGTATTTAGTCCATTTATATTCAAGGTAATTATTGATAGGTAAGTATTTATTGCTATTTTATTACTTATTTTATGGTTATTTCTGAAGTTTTTCTCTGATCCTTTACGTAATTCTCTCTTTCATGTTTTGCTGATTTTTTTTTAACAATACATTTGGATTTCTTTCTCTTTGTTCTTAGCGTATTTCTCAGTGGCTTTTGACTTGTGGTTACCATTAAATTTGCATATAACATTCTGCATATAGCAGTTTATATTAAGTTGATGAATATTTAAGTTTGAACTCATTTCCTTTTCTTCTCCCATCCCCACATTTTAGGTATATGGTGTCATATTTTACATCCTGTTATTTTGTGAGTTCCTTAACTCACAAAATAAATATTTTTTTATAAAAAAAATTCATTTTTATTGCTTTATGTTTCCTACCTTCATAATGTCATTTTTGGTCTTTCCACTCAAAGAGTCCCCTTTAGTATTTCTTGCAGGGCTGGTTTAATGGTCATGAACTCCTTTAGTTTTGTTTGTCTAAGAAATTCTTTATCTCTCCTTCTATTCTGAATGATAGTCTCACTGACTAGAGTATTCTCTGCTGTAGATTTTTCTCATTCAGCAGTTTGAATATATATTTCACAATTCCCTTCTGGCTTGGAAAGTTTCTGCTGAAAAATCCATTCATAGCCATATGGGGTTTCCTTTCTATGTTAAAAAAGTCATCTATGTCTCCTTCTTGAGGGTCGTGGCTTTATGAGGAAGTGTTCCTATAGTGCCTTGCAGTGTAGTGTCCCTTATTACCCAGGGCCTGGCACTTCTGAGAGTATCTCCAATATGTGCTGTGTGTGCTCTGCTTTTGTATCCTGGCTGCTTTATCCTTCAGGCCAGTGGTCTGTAGAAGTTCTCTTTGCCTATTGTGGACAGTGTTTGTCCCTGGCCTAAATGTGGCAAATTTTAACTAGGTGTACTCTGGTATGTTTGTGAAATGAGATCTGTCATCACTACCACCAGAACTGAGGCCTTGGAAAACTCCCAGGTCAAGAGATGCAGTATTGGTAGGGGTTTAGGCTGATCTTCTAGGGTAGGAAGCCCACTGCACTGGGACTCAGCCAAGTGTGACTGGGAAGGGCGGTTCTTCTGGAATGCGGGATGGTAGGGCTTGGTGTAAGTGTCAGAACTGTGCTGGTGCTTGCAGGTGCCCCTGCGCTTCTGCTGAGGGGTGGGAGAAGGAAATTGTGCCTGCCAGTTCCTTTGTTCCCAGAATAGTCTTTCCATGAATGCTACCTCTCTGAGACACACTCTGAAATGAGCAACTAACCTCCCCACTGGGTGTGTCAGGCGTTCTTCAGATCACTGTGTCCACACTGTATGTCTGGGGATGTTTGCCTGCCTTCTCTCTAAGAACAACCCCAGTGCCCTCCAAGCTCTTCGAGAGCCAAGCACACTGATCTTTAAAACTCTAGGCTTTAAGCCTCACTGGTTTCCAGAACTCATGAAACTCAAGCCCTGTTGCTTTCCAAACCAATTGCTATAGAGATTTATCTTCCCCATGTGCTCCCCTGTGTGCTAGACTGTCGCTCATCCTTCTCTGTTCTGCAGCTCCCCTTCCCCACTGCAGTGGCCTTGATCTTTTTCTCTCCCAAACTGCATCTCTGCATTTCTTACCTTCTTCAATGTGGCCTCTTCTCTACCTTTAGTGGTGGAGATTGTTCTGCCAATGTTCAAGTTAATTTGGGGGGTATTTATTTTGATTTGATAGTTACCTAGTTGTATTTGTGGGATGAGGTAAGTCTAGCGTCCTCCTACTTCACTGCCATGCTCCCATCCTATCTGAAGTCAGTCTTGCTGAAGCATTGATCATATCATCAAACTTGAAATTTGAGAGGCTTATTCATATTTCATAATGCCATCACCTGTTTTTTCAGGCAACTTCTTCCTGCTTTTATTGTTATTGTATTTAAGTGTGGGTTTTGCAGAAGTATTCATTATCAGTAATTTGTTTTCTGACCACTCATTCCATTGTTTTCTGACCACACATTCAGAGGATTGTCATAAGATAGGTCCATGAAAACTAGAACTAGACTTGTATGGATCTTATTTCATTTCCTTAGAAGGTTAAAAAGAAAAGAAAAAAAGAAGTATGATAATGTAATGGTTGATTGCAGTTGGAGAATTTTTCTGATTTTGAAATTTATTTCTTCATGTGAGAGTACTAATCCTGCAATTTGTTAAGTGAAGTGTTACAAAATTTAAACTTTTGAATTTAAATTTAATATTTAGTAACTAGATGGGTCATTAAATTTAAGGAAGTAGATAATTTACCTTAAAATTTGGGAATATCCTATTAACTACAAAACTGAGAGAAATGTGATAGCAATAATTCTCATTCTAAGCTACCTATTAGAATCATCTTAGAAACCTTAAAAAAAATATTGTTTATAAGGGAATACAAAGTAATTACAAAATTACAAAATAATTTTTGTATTATTTAATAATTGTTTAATATAAGTCCAATTACTTGCAGAAATAACCAGAGCCAGGTCTGGGACATGAAATATAAAAGATTAGCCTAGAAAAGCTTGTCATGTGAGATATTAGGGAACTTATTGAAGATTACATGTTAAAAAGACTTGGGAGCCAACTGGGTAAGGTTCCCATAGGCCAACATTAGACCATTTGGGCTTCAATAAGGCAGTAATTTTAATGGACTAAACATATCAAATATCCCATGAATAACAGTAGATTCTTTTTTTTAAAAAAAAGAAATATTTTTATTTATTTCTTCATGAGAGACACACAGAGAGAGACAGAGACATAGGTAGAGGGAGAGGCAGGCTCCTCGCAGGGAGCCTGATGTGGGACTTGACCCTGGGACTCTGGGATCATGCCCTGAGCTACCCAGGCATCCTTAACAGCAGATTCATAGGGACACAAGAAAATTTAGCTGGTAACTATGAGAGGAGGCTCATGAACAAATTCATTATTTTGATAAAAGACCATGAAAGGGGAAGAATTGTCTTTTCAGCACTAACTGGATGACAAAACCAGTAGTAGATGAAGAAAAGTTTCCTTTATAGAAGAAATTTATTTCAGTCAATAAATGATAGAATTTAAATCTCAGAGGTTGCAACTCTGATGAACTAGCGGATTTAGGTCCTCATCATCATGGCTACTCGTGTTAGAAAAAATAGATACAGCCAAACACTATGTGCCTCTGGATGGAAAAACATACCATATGAAAAAGTCTTGCCAAAAAGAAGAAATATTGAATTTGAATCCTATCAAACCTCTAAATCCAACAACCAGTACCAAAGACAGAAGAACATGCTAAGAGACACCATAATGAGACCATCAGCAAAACTGTTTGTAGAAACAGCTACAGAACAAATGACCCAGTTTTCTAGTTTTTGAAACAGATAAGTTGACAGGGTAAGAGGGAAATAAACACAGAGAAGGTACTTATTTAAAAAGGTACATAAACCATGTTTTGGTCCTGATTCAAGGAAACTATAAAGCAATAAATTATAAAATGTATGCAACAATTAGAAATTTGACTACTTACAGGATTTTTATTAATATTAAAGAATTGTTACCTTTTAAGCTGTGATAGTGTTATTGGTTATTGTGATTATAGTTTTAAGAGCCCTCATCTTTTGGAGATTCATACTGAAATAACTGCTGTTAAGTGATTTGATGTCTGGAATTTGCTTCAAAATAATGTGGGTTCTTAGGAAAGAGGAACAGCTTAGATGAAACAAGGTTGACCTTGAATTAACACTGTAAAGTGGGTGATGGCTGCATGGGAGTTTGTTACTGTTCTTTCTACTGTTATATTTTTCATGTTTGAGTTCTTCTCCATGCTTTAAATTCCTTATCTACTATGAAATAATGCATTAAATTTTATAAGATAGGTTTTAAAAGATTAGATTCTAAGTAATATAGTAAGGAGCTTGATTTTAAATGAATATATACACACAAATTTTGTTAACCTGTTTCTTCATTGCTCAGAGCCCTTTGGAGACATCATATTGTCTTAAAACTGTGTTCTATATTAGAAAGATGTCTTAAAAAGAGCTATTGCCTCTTTTGGTTTTATCTGATACCTCTCATCATTATTCTTCTATTCAAAGATATTTTCTTTGAGCTGTCAGTTTAACTACTGATAAATCTTTGCCTATAAAGATTCTATTGACTTTATTTTTTATTTGTTTAGGATTCCATTGATTGCAATGGAGGGTTACTATCCTGACTTCCTAAGAAAATAATTAAATCAATTAAGTAAATGTGTCTCTTAATATAAAGTCATTATTTTTTTTCTTATTGAAAAAAGCAATATGCATGGATTATAGAAAGGTTGGAAGATGCAAAAGAAAAATAGAGTTTATCAGGATTCTTCATCCAGAGATAAACACTGTTAACTTTTGCTATACTTTTACTATTTTTATACACTTAAATATGCACAAAATGTATTATTTTAGTTTGTAGATTATTTTTTATTGATTTTGAGGAAGTATATGACAAGCCATTAAAGCCAGCTCCCTGACTATGTAGGAACATTGATGATTATAGTAAAAGGTAAACAGCAAAGAAGGAAGAAACAAAGACTCATAAAAATTATACCCAGAAGTCAAAGAATAGTAATCTTAGCTCATATATGCCTATAATAACTATAGGGGGCGGTTAACAGCCTATATAACCACCAAGAGCTATGAGATACTGAAGAATTATACAAAAATATATTTAGAATAATAGTTGTAAATAATTTTTTAAGTAAGTTCTGTTCATTTTACTTTATTTCAGGGGGCAGGGAAGTAAATTTTAGGAAGACTTTTACTTCAAATATTTAAAATTTTAAATGCTTGGACCCTTAATAAGTTTATCTTCCGTGCATAAGTTACATTGTTAAAAAAATTCAGTCCTCATACCAATAAGATACCTTGACTTGTTTCATGTTCAAAGGTGTAAAAAAAAACAAAACACAGTCTTTGCTGCACATTTCAGGTATTGAAAAATAAATTCGGGCAGCCCTGGTGGCTTAGCGGCTTAGCGCCACCTTCAGCCCGGGGTGTGATCCTGGAGACCCAGGATCAAGTCCCATGTTGGGTTCCCTGCATGGAGCCTGCTTTTCCGTCTGCCTGTGTCTCTGCGCCTCTCTCTCTCTGTGTCTCTCATGAATAAATAAATAAAATATTTAAAAAAATAAAAATAAAAAAAATAAATTCAATCCAAGATATTTTTTAAACTTTACTAAGCAAATCTACCTCTTTGACATTTCAGACACATTCCTCATCAACCTTTGGTATTGGTTATAATCAGTTGTCACTTACATAGAAAGTGAAACCAAGTCTGTACTTTAATTACACTGGTCAGCCCAGGTATGAATTTTGAAGTAATTTGATGAAAGCATTTCTAAAAATCTAAGCCTAGCCCTTAAACTTTATTTATTTAATGAATTTATTTAGCATTCCAGTGCCGGGAGATTCAGGTTCATAGCTAAGATTACTTTGTATTCCCTTATTATCTTCCCATGATTGAGGTATAATCTTGAAAATACCCTTTTTTTCATGGATTCACAGGGGAACAAGGAACGGGTTTGTCAGAAGAACAGAAGGTGGAGTGGAGAGGTAGCAACGTGCAGAAGTAAGTCAAATGACATTTAGCAGTCCCAAAAACAATACTGAGAACACATAATAATGTGGCCACATTTCCTTTATAAACCAGTTTTTTAATTCAGAAAAATTTTTTAATCATCTCCATAAACCGTATGAGAAGCTTTTCTGGGCTTTTGCTCAAGAGCACCAAACTAATAAAAGAGTCCAAAATTGTTGTAGATTCCACACATCTACATCAAAAATTGTGGTAGAAATGAATGATTAAATTGAAATAGAACACAAGATTACTGACTCTGGAATGGGAAAGATTTTGTTTAGTAATTAGTTAACTATTTGCATTCTTTTTGTGGTTTTTTTTCCAAAATCATTATAAATTAGAAGGCTTAGCACTGCTGCTTTTTGGTGATGGTACCATCCAATGCTGACATTTTTTTTAAGTGATGCTGTCACATCTGTCAAATAAATGAAAGTCACATTTTTGTGGAATTTTACATTCACTCATTTTATGAGAGCATCCAAATTTATTTAGCAAAATACGAGTTAATCCATATGATTTTATTCCCAACACATAGCCCATATGATTCCTCTAGCCAGAGACAATGTATAGTTGATCCCATAAACAACACAGGTTTGAACTATGCGTGTCTGCTTACATGTGGGGTTTTTTCAATAAATACAGTATGGTACTAGAAACTTATTTTCTCTTCCCTGTGATTATCTTAATAACACTTTCTTTTCTAAAGCTTACTTCATTGTGAGACTACAGTATATAATACATGTAACATCCAAAAGATTTGTTAATCAACTGTTTGTGTTATCAGGAAGGCTTCCGGTCAACAGTAAGCTTTGGTTAGTTAAGTTCTGGGAAAGTTAAAAGTTATATGTGGATTTTTGTCAGTATGGGGTGTTGGCACCCTTAGCCCCCATGTTGTTCAAGGATCAGCTATATTTAGATGAAGTGTACAAGCCTATTAAAATGTCGGGCTTTAAACCTTTTTCTCTTAATAATCCTGGGAGAGTTATCAAAGTTTCAAACTAGAATTGGCCTCTTAAATTATCTAGTTAAGTGGCCTCTTAGATGAGTCAGCCGGTCTAGATTGGACTAAGTCAAGATCAGCTAGATTTATTTCTCTTGCTAAGTAAGTAAATAGAGGGACGAGGAGAAGTACAGTGACCTGTCCAATATCATAAATTAAGTTAGTGGCAAGGCTGGCAGTAAGACTTGAGGTCTGCAAATCTTTGTTCATTGTCGTTTTTACCATATCTTCTGGGGTAGATTAATGATTTGATTCTACATATACAGAAATCTTAAATTCTTTTTTTAAAATATTTTATTTATTTATTCATAAGAAACACAGAGAGAGGCAGCAACATATGCTGCAGGGAGTCCAATGTGGGACTTGATCCTGGGACCTCGGGATCAAGCCCTGAGCCAAAGGCAAACGCTCAACCGCTGAGCCACCCAGGTGTCCCCATGCTGGGGATTTTTTCCTCCTTTGATTCAGAGCATATCCCTGTGTCTCACAAATGAGTAGGCTTTAATATTTGATATGATGCATTAGTACCTCCAGCAATTGTAGCAGAAGGAGGAAAGAGGATTGGAAGAAGCATTTCATACAAGGCTTTCATTTTTCTTTCTAGAGACCAGGTGTGAAGCTCCGCTTGGGTTTCTGAATGGGAAAGCCGAAGTTGAAAACACGACTGCTGGACTCAGGGTAGTGTATTCCTGCAACAGAGGGTACAGCCTTGAAGGAGCACCTGAGATACATTGCACCGGACGCGGAGTTTGGAGCCACCCACATCCTCTCTGCAAACGTGTGTGTTGACTCTAAGAGAGGTTTTAATCAGATTCAGTTTCCTGACTCATTTCCCAGATGTCTAAAACATAGAGGAAACTCCACTGAGTGAAATTAGCCCCGAGAAAGCGATCTGTGCATATTCAAACCAAATACTATGGGGTGTTTTTAAAATCTGTTCACGTTATCTGGAATATCCAGTCTGCAAATTAGCTTTCACCAGATTCCTTGGATGATTACAGGTAGTCCAAGGCACTAATAAAAAAAAATGCAACTTAATGAAAACAAATTGATACAAATGTATAATGAATTTGATTGAAGATGTAAAAGGGTAAAGAGAGAATATATTTACATGGAATTTTAATATAATAAAGTATATATAAATATAGTGAATGAAGATAAGTAGTTGTAAGCACTAGAATGAAAACAATATTCACATGCAAGATCTAAATTGAGAGCTCCCTGGTGTTATTTAAAGTATTATAATGTAGTAACTGTGTCTTTAGGATTCACTGACATCTGCTTCACTCATAAATACTTCTTTGGAAATTAGAAAAACCAAAACTTCTGAAATATGTTGATATGTGTGTCACACACTTGCACCAAGAAATCCTTGCACTATAATCATTTTTTGTTTTTTGCTTCAGATGTATAAAATGAATCCATTTTTATGAACAAGCCTCACAAACTCTACAATTTAAGTTATAATACCCTTTTTTAAGCAGTGTGAGTCTGAAGTTTTATTCAGTCACATAGAAAAGTCTGATGATGTTCTGGGGCATCCTTCTGAAGGATGTTCAGTAAAAGAAAGTAAAGTGACAATGAGAAGCACTTACTATGCTTTCTTAATATTCTTCAAAAACCAAGGGGATGTTTGATGCACTCCCTGATTCCTGGCACACCTTTTCTTTTCCCAGTGTTGGGCCATATTTCAAACAACTATTTAATTTACCATCTTAGAATTTTAGGACAATGTGTTAGTGGTTGAATAACTTGGGGTTTTCAGATCTTATCTGATCTTATCCTTAAAGATAATTTCATGTGGCTATAAAACACATTTACTTTTTTTAATGTTTGAAGTTCTGTATTTTTAAGCCTCATATTATCATCACTGAGAAGCCAGTTCCTACATGGCTCATCATTCTCTATCTTTAGAGAAATAAATGAAGAAGAGAAGAATATCAGTAAGCATTTTTTTTCCTGTTTAACAGCAAATCCATGCCCTGTTCCTTTTGTGATTCCTGAGAATGCTGTCCTTTCTGAAAAGGAGTTTTATGTTGATCAGAACGTGTCCATCAAGTGTAGAGAAGGCTTCCTGCTCCAGGGTTGGGGCATCATTACCTGTAACCCCGATGAGACATGGACGGTGACAAATGCCAAATGTGAAAGTAAGTAAATGATGGAATCCAGGTCATTTCATTAGTGCAGAATATTTATTCTTCCTTGTGAGATATTTTCAATCAAGTAACTTAAATGTAGATATTTAGGTCTCTGTCATGGTTATCAGCTTCTATGTTGATAATTTTTTTTAAAAAGATCTTTGAATTCCAACTATAGAAAGAAAAAACTTTCCAGAAGTTGGCTAAAACCTATCTGGCCAGAATTCACTGAACAGATTTTCAAAATATGTTCTTCTAAGAATGAGCAAAATATTAAATCTAAAATATATTTTTTCTGGGGTGCCGGGCTGGCTAAGTCTGTAGAACACGCAGCTCTTGAACTTGAGGTCATGATTTTGAGCCCCACGTTGAGCATGGAGATTATTGTAAAAATTTTTAAATAAAATAAAATACATATTTTTCCCATATTTTCTGAGAATCCCAAGCTATCCTTTAATAGGCTGTGGATGCTTTGCAATACAAAAATTATTCCACAGTGGTTCTCAAACTTGAACCACCTGGAGAGCTTGTTTAAAACAGATTTCTGCCCCCACCCCCACCCCCACCACCACCACCAGAAAGTCTAATTCAGTAGTCTGGGGTGAGGCCTAAGAATTTGCATTTCAAACAAGTTCCCAAGTGTTGCTGCTGGTGATATTGGTCCTGGAACCACAATTTGGGTTCCAGTCTGGGCTAGAACCATGTTGGTACATAATACACAATACGGCGGCATCTCTTGCTGCCTTGTGGTTACTCTTGACGTCTCTTGACACACACTTCCATCACTTAAAACATCTGCTCTGCCCAACATCCTACCTTCTGGCTCCTTTGTAGTCCAAACAACTCCCTCTGTAGGAAAAAATTAACAAATATTCATTGAGTCTAACCAGCTGCAGGACACTGGGCTATATAGCTTATACCATGCCTGCGATGGCCTTCATCTTCAGAACACTTGCCCTCCAATTAGTAAAGAAATGTGCATGTGAAAAAAAAAAAAAAAAGAAATGTGCATGTGAAGGGCATAGGGATTGTGGAGTCAGAGAGGACCTGGGTTTGAATCCTATCCTCAAAACTTTTTAAGTAAACTTATGGCCATGCCCTAACTTCTCTGAACCTCAGGGCTCTCATGTATTAATAGCACCAATAATACCTATGTTATAGGTTTGTTTTGAAGAATAAATGAATCAGTGTATTTATCTTAGCAATGTCTTTTGATAGGAAGACATACATCAATAGCCCACGTGCCTGAATTTTCAACTAGCAGCCTACTACAGTATTAGAATTTAGATTTTACTCCAGGAGATGTATACTACTTTTAGCCTTATAAAATCTACTCAAAGTGAAGTGGAACGAACTATGTATGTGTAAGCTTTGACCACCAGCCCTACCTAACGCAGGCCAAGTGGCCTGATCCTGCACACATATCCCCACATTGGTCTCGGCTCCCTGAGACGTACCACTCAGAGCACTGGAAGGAAGAGCAAGAAGACACATGCACTCGAGTACATGTTTGATTATTCCTCAATATTCTTTTTTCCTTTTTTCTTTTTTTAAAGATTTTATTTATTTATTTATTTATTTATTTATTTATTTATTTGAGAGAGAGAGAAGACGAGTGGGGGAAAGGAGCAAAAGGAGAGAGAGAGAGAGAAGTGGACTCCTCACTGAGCAGGGAGCCTGAGATCATGACCTGAGTGGAAGGCTTAACCAACAGAGCCACCCAAGTGCCCTATTTCTCAATATTCTTGAGAGGCTCAGGGGTTGCCTTGGAGAGAAGGAGACAATTTCTGCCATTGTTTGCTTTCCTCAGTCCCTCTTTTGCATTTTTTATTAAACACAAAGCTTCCAGTTTAGAAGAAAATCTCTTCCCTGAGGGACAAGAGCAACAAATTACCTCATTCTTTTCACCTCATCCTGATATTTATCCTTACAAATCAGTGATTAAAATTTAGCACATATGGGAATCACTTAGGGAAGGTAGATAAGATGCAGACTCATAAACTAGAAACTCCCAAAATTTTCTCGCACTTTTAGCAAGAACCCAAGGGGATTCCCATATAGGTGGTCTGAAATCTGTGTTTTGATCACTTCAGGAAACCAGGCATCTTCTCATCACAGTCTTTCTACATGCTGCTCCCCCAACCTGGAAGCTCTTTCCTTCTGATCCACTCAAGCTCTATAGCCCAATTCAAATGTCACTTTCACTGTGATTTGTACCTTGATAATCTTAAGCATAATCAGTTGCATTCACCTTGATTTTCCTATAGTGTAGTATCCAGGCCTATATGACAGCTCTTTTTAAGTTGTTCATCATTCTTCCACTTGTCTGAGCAAAGGGACAGCATTATCTTCATTGGTTTCTTTCCAGTTTCTGATGGACAGTAAGCAGTAATACATATTTGACATCTGACTCACTGAATTGGTGTTTGTAATCACCTTAGAAGGAAAAGAAAATTTAGAAAAATCATACACATCAGTCATCGCTTTAAATAAGTTCTTAGTAGTATGATGACCACAAGGGCACCTGGGTGGCTTAGTGGTTGAGCATATGCTGTTGGCTCAGGTTGTGATCCCTGGATCCTGGGATCAAGTTCCGCATCAGGCTCCCATAGGCACCCTGCTTCTCCCTAGGTCTCTGGCTCTCTTTGTGTCTCTCATAAATAAATTAAATCTTTTTTTAAATAGTATTATGACCACAAAGTGACCTTTTATAAGCCAATTCATGGAGAGTCATCATCATACATTTATACAAATTGGATATTGATTGGAGTCCCAGCTCCAGTCCAGTCCTTGTCTTGTGAGCCACCCCAGAATAACCCTAGTTATTTCAGGGTTTCTCAAGGCAAAATTAGTTATAAGATTTTTTATCTAAACATACAATACATGTAGCTTTTAAAAGAGGATTATCATTCAATCTCACACATTGCAAAAGCGAAGAGTCACTGCCTCACGGTCTTGAAAAGGAGACTGATGTGAAACCTTGAATGTCATAAGTTTCACCAAGGTGTGTAAACTGAGTATGGACAGGCTAGAGACAATATTCATTCATTTACTCATTTTTCAAACACGTATCAAGAGCCCACTACATGCCAGGTGCTGTCCTAGGCACTAATAAAACAGCCTTGATGGAATATGCAGTACTGTAATTCATGATCTTCACTCTAAAACAATAGACTACAAATAATCCCCAGGCTTCTCCCCTTCTAATTTGATAAGCATCCTGCATTGACATTCTCTCGGAAGCCATCTCTTTGGCAATCCACAAGAGCTCATTGGGCTCCTAGAGATTTCTTGGCTGAGTAAAAAATGGCAGCGCAGCTTCAGTGTTTGAATTAGAAGACAAACCTTTGATCGTGCACATCTCATTTTTCTAAACAGGAGCAGATTATGCTTAGTATCTAGTATGCCTAGTATCTTTTAGTTATTATAAAAAGGTTACCTTTATGTGTTTTATCCTTGCTCTTAAAATAAATTCAGTCTTTGGCTTGAGATTGTGTTCTCTTCTATCCACTGGCTGAGTTAGTAGCACAGACTTCATTGTGGTTCGTTTTCCTGTAGAAATATCCTGTGGTCCACCAACTCATGTAGGAAATGCGATTGCTCGAGGCATACATTATCAGTATGGGGACATGATCACCTACTCATGTTACAGTGGATACATGTTGGAGGGCTCCCTAAGGAGTATTTGCCTAGAGAATGGAACCTGGACATCACCTCCTATTTGCAGAGGTAAGGAAATATTTGCATGGTTATGTCTCAGTGAAGCTGTAGGGAAATTCATATGAAAGTCTGACAAAGCCAACAACTGTATGCATGCTATTTTATTTTTCCGTGGTTTTAAATTTTCTTTTGACATTTATGTCATTTTCCTTAACTTTATTATGGGTTTGAGTTTTGAAAGCTTTCATACGGAACTCTGACCTGGCATATGGCTCCTTCCTGAGTCAATCATGGCTCCTCATAGTGTTCTACTCTCCAACTGCTAGGGGGAGCTGCAGCATGTCTGAGCCTTGAGGGTACCTCTGGGATACTCAGGTGTCTCAGCAGATTCCAGTTCCATCCTCATTCTGAACAGACCTTTAACCCCACTGGAGATGGGGTAGTCCATCCCATGGGCAATGTAAGAGACAAGAGGTACTGTCCAGTCCCAGGGAAGTGAAGCCTACCTCTTGGTCTCCCTGGCCATGCTGGGGGTTGGTGAAAAGCACTCCATGTTTATATAAGCACTACTATCCCTTCACTTGGTGGATTGAATTTGCAAACCCAAGAATGAATTTTGTGTGTGCATTCAATAAAATCTTCTTGGGGGAAGAAGGATCTGTGCTTCAAATTCTGCAAAATTGAAAGAGGTAGATACTGAACCATTCTAGTATGTCCTAAAACTTACATTGTTCTAATAAAATAGAATTCTTTCTTACAAATCATAATGATTGTCCCATTCTACAAGTTTTTTTTCCATTCTACAAATATTTACTGAAAGTCAAGAGCTATGCTAGTGAACAAGACAAATATAACCAAGGAACTAAAAGAAAACTCAGATTGTTGACTGGGTTGTCCACATGACAATGGTCAGATTTGGATTTGGGGTAAAAAGGCCAGAGCCTTTAATGACCCTTGGGGGATGGGACAATTGAGAAAAACCAATGAACAAACGGCATGGGCCTCAAAGAGGCAAGAGAGTTTGCAGGAGAAGGAAGATTAATTGTCTGAAAGCAACAATGAGAAATGAAATCACTAACACATGGGATATAAGAGAGAGAACATTCAGCCTCCTCATGAGAGGGCAAGGGAGGAGGTAACAGCCTCATAGACTAGCCCAAGCTTCACTTAAAAACAGAAGCCAAATGAGACTTCAGTGTTTGCTTGCTCACTTGTTTGTTTCTTCACTTGCTTATTTTAAGACAATGAATGACAGAGGCAGCTCCCAAGAGCTATTGACCATCAAAGGCCATCTTTGGAAGGGCATTCTCAGCTCTGCTGAAAGAGACACTTCCCCCGGTCCAGACCAAAAGAGCTTACCTTTTGTCTAAACCACGTTGTTCCCTTCTGCCCTGAATCCCCAAATTACTAAAATTTGGAAAACCATATTCTCAGAACTACCCAAGCTTGTTTATGCCCCTTTCTGAGAGCTCTCATGTTTATCTCTTTCTGAATCTTGAGATTTGCTTTTGTTTCTTTGCTTGACTCAAGGAAATATTATGAAATGTGAATAAGAAATCTTATTTTCTGACAAATACTCTTCCATAATTCCCTGGATTTATGATCCATCCTCCTTCTTTTCCAGCTGTCTGTCGATTCCCATGTCAGAATGGAGGTATCTGCCAACGCCCCAATGCTTGTTCCTGTCCAGATGGCTGGATGGGGCGCCTCTGTGAAGAGCGTGAGTCTATCCTCAAACCTTACATGTTATATCCTTAAATTTTACTTTGAATCCTGATAATTTGCCTGGAAGCTGCCAACTCGAGGAAGTTACTAGGAACTGGCTTTACTATTAGAGGGAATTGATTTGGTTAAATCCTGCAGCAGACCAGACAAGAGCGCCTAAAGTTGATCTGAATATGTCAATTAGTTGCAAAAGATCTAGAATATAAATGACTTTTCAAATACAGTTATAAAGATCCATCCAGAGCCATTGCCAAATGCCTCTTGTCACAAATTTCCAAGAATCCTCTTGAGAAGGAACTTATAATAGAGGATTTCCCAGCCAATATCTTTCCTATCTCAGACCCACTTATGTACCACGCTGCTCATTGCTGCAGTTGGGAGAAATTCACGGCATTGGGTCACAGTCTGGTATTTGCAGCCCACCGTTGACTCTTTTTCATTAGGGGTAGTTCTTCTCAACTAAGAAAACAGGGAAAGTTGGCACTCTGGTATCTACACAATGCTTAGTAAATTATTATGGAATTTTGATCCTTATAAAAATACATTTGAACTTGAACTTTCAGGAGAATGAAAATAAGTGATTTTAAAAGGGTGTTTTTAATGTCTAAACTATACTTTGTTTCAATATCTTTAAAAATATATATGGGGATAAAATGATTTCATGTTTCTTTGGGAGTGGTGTGTGTAAATCACATTAAGAGTCATTTGTGTGATGCCCATTGGTCTATATCAGTTTTTTTTTGAAGGCCAGACACATTACAAGAGATTCTAAAACTGTTTTGAGTGTAGCTTTTGCAACTAATCTAGAAAGGAAAATATGCAATGGAAATAAATTGAGGCTGCTAACAACTCATGAAAACAAGTAGTTTCACAGGGATTAAGAAAGAAGAGAAATTATGTTTTTCCTTCCTCTTCTCTCCAATCATTCCTTCCCATTTAGGACTCCCAAACTTGCCTTGCTGTCATGCTAAGAGTCCAAAGACCAGGGAAACATTTACCCTGGAGGACCCTGATAGCAGGCCTAGCTTAGCTCACTGAGCATGTGCCCACCCTCCTGCATTAGACCAAGGCTTCCCAAACTTTAATGTGCATACAACCCATCTGGGAGATATTAAATGCAGATGCTGATTCAGAAGTTCTGAGTTAGGACCTGAGATGTTGGCATTTCTAGCCTACACCCAGGTAATGCCAATGCTATTGGCTTGAGAACCGTACTTTGTGTGGCAAGTCAGTAGACAATCTCACTCCTTTTAAATGGACTATTCCTCTTTAAAGAGCTCAATGATTTCTAGGAAGAGTGATTGCCTTGGAGGGTGTAAGTGCCACTGCTCCAAGGAAATAAAGGGTGAGGTGTCCCATCACTACTAATGGAGATACTAATGTATTGCCAAAACCAGCCTCCACGATACCCATCTGACCCTATTCTTACATTTAATTCAAGACAATAAGAAGCCTTGAGACAGCCAACCCTCTTGAGCATTTCATGTAATTTGAAAAGGAAATTTGAAATGATAATAAGTGGAGAAGGTTATTCTGTGAAGAGAGAGCAAAGCACTTAGCAGACGTCGATTATGGTATATCCTCTCTAAAAGAGTGCATTTGGCACTAGTGTCATTCTGTTAGGCTAAAGGTCCATCCTTACTTTCCTGCTGATGTTTTTCCAATGATACTGATGAATAAACAGAACATAGCCACGGAGACTCTCTAGTGGGTCATTGATGGTTTTATCTTCCTGGAAAATGTTTTTTGAACACTTGAACATATCTGAGTGTATTTTGATTAAATCCTTTTCAATCTCTTTTCTAGCAATATGCATTCTCCCCTGTTTGAATGGTGGTCGCTGTGTAGCCCCTTACCAGTGTGACTGTCCACCTGGCTGGACGGGGTCCCGCTGTCATACAGGTAGGCCTTCTCTCCAGGTTTGTTTTCTTGTTGCTTTGGCTCCAAGAGGCCCTAGAGGACACTGGTGAGTGTGACTCAGATTCACGGGTAGCAGTGAAACAAAAAGATGCCAAAACCTCTCAAGAATTCCTCAAGATGGTCTCTTGAATGAGAGTCTCAATGCTGAACTCTATAGCTGCTTCCAGAGACACCTGTCTGGGCCATGAACCAAAGATACGCATCTAAGTCAACTCAGTTGTCAGCCTTCTTCGTATCATCTGCTCTTTGCAGAACATTGAGAAAACATGCAGAGGTTCAGAAGAATATTTATTTTAATCTCTATGAAATCGAATTACTAACTTGTCGTAACTATTTAGAAAGAACAAGGCTCTGCATAAATACCATCTAAGTTAAAGTGAAAATCTCATCAAAGAGATGATTCCTTCATGGACAACAGTAACAAACTATTATTGATTGATGGGAGATAAACACATCCCCCTAAACACCCTTACCTATCTCAAATAAGACATCTGCTCTTCTATACTTTAATAATTGATTATCCATCTGTCCTTATTCCCATTAGATTATATGCCACTTGAGAGCAGGGATATCTCTTTGTGATTGTTAGATACCCAGTACCTAGCATAGTGCCTGTGTATGATAAGTTTCTCATGTTGAAGAAATGATTCAGTTTAAAATGATAGGTTTCAACCTTTTTTAAAGTCTGAAATTTTAAGACAACTGTTAAAAGAATAGAACTTGCTGTATTTATTTGAGATTAATTCCAACATACCACCACCCCTCCTGTAAACAATATTTATACCACCTCTCTGGTGGGGTGAAACACCAAGTAGAACAGGCATGTTGGTCCCAGAGCTTGTCATGAGCTCTAAGGCTGGGTGACGATATAATTTAGCCTTCAAACTAGGATATTTTTGCAAGCAAAAGGGGTAAACTAAGGAAATGGGAGTAAAATGTACTGTCACAGGCAAAACCAGTTGTGTAGTCCCCCTACCTAAAGCTGAAACAGCCATCCACGAGTGTAGAAAAGTAAAGATCTACTGGAGGCTAAATGAGAAGCTTTTACTTGAAACCTAAAGGTACTCTATCTAGTGTTTATAACAAATCAGCTTTGCTGTTTTATCTGCATTCCCCTAATTGAAGTCACATGCACAGGAGTCTGGCCCTTTCCCAGCCATCTGACACTATAGGTGGTGGCCCTGCTCTTCCAGGTGGAGGCATCCTTGATTCTCCCCCCCTTCTGCTGAGATTACCAGCGTCAGCACCTTTCTGTTTCTCTCTACACAGTACCTCCTCCATCCTGCTGTGTCCCCGCTATCACCAGCTAGTAGAAGATCTCTTCTTGGGATCACCATCAGAGTCTACCGGTTAATCTTCCTGTCTCTATTATTTCCAAGCTAAACATCATTATGTACTCCTTTTGGTGTATCTTTTTGCCCTATTTCAGAACCTAAAATGGTTCCCTGTGGTCTCCACATCCAGCCCAAAGTTTTCAGCACAAATTCTTCTGACTTCCAAGGCTCTGCAGAGGCTGACACACCTCTGATAAACTGATAAAACTCAGTTCTTATCCGGCCAATCACACGCTGTCCCCTGCAGTGAGGGCTTCCCTGCTATCCCCATCTCTCAGCGCAAGTTTGCGGTCTCCCTCTTTCCCCTCCCTCTCCAAACTTGGGTGCCCTGCCTAAGTTTCTTCTGGTTTCCAAACCTGCTTTATACCACAATAATCTATTTTCTAGCATTCCATTTCTATAGATATGACACAATTAGGTACAACCACGCAATCTAAAGCCCCATTGATCTCATTTATTTGTATTTCTTTTAGCTCCTTGACTCCCTAATTAGCCTAAGCTCTCTAATGACACTGAGCCACATAATGTTCCTTTCTATAGCAGCTACCTAAGCACGTATCCTACTCGCACACCCTACGCACTAAGCATAAAACAGCATATGAAACAGGAGTTCCTGCCCTCCGGAATTTAATCTAGGAAAGCAGAAAGGATGTGGAATGGCCTATAAAGAGATAACTAGAGGTTAATTAAATTCTCTAAAAGGGGTTATGGCAACAGTGAATATGGGCATACTAACCCAGCGCAGACATTCAGAAGTCTTCATAAGCATAGAACCAGAAGAAGAACAAGAGTAGTCACCAGGAGACGATCATTCTAGTCAAAGGCATGGAAGCATAACACAGGTGTGTTCAACATAGTAGAACTGAAGCCATGCAGGAAACGTAGGGGTGTGGTTGGAAATGAAGCTATAAAGTTGGGCAGAGCCAAAGAAGGAAATGCATTGTGTGCCAAGGTCAAGATCCTGAATTATGTCTTATGAGTAACAGAAGCCACTGAAAGGTTTTAAACAAAAAAATCACGTGATGAGATTTTCTTTTAGAAAAGTAATTTTGGCAGCAGTATGGAAAATGGAAGAAAGCAAGACATACGATAGGGAGACCACTTAGGAAGTTAATAAAGCAGCATTGGCGAGATGTAATGAAGTCTGAAAAAATGATAACCAGGAAGAGTGGATTTGAGAGAAGTTAGGGAGGTGACTCACTATTTGGTTATAGATTTATCGTGGGAATAAAAGTCTGAGATGCATCAAGATTGATTACACCTTTTGGGCACCTTAGGGAGTGGTGCCTTTTACTAAAACAGAGAACTCATGAGGAGCAGGTGTGAAGGTATAGATGAGGAGGTAAGTAGCTACGTGCTGAGTTTGAGGAGCCTGGGAAACATATAAGGTAGAGGTCTGATAGTTTAGTTTGGGTTTGGGTTCCCAGAAGATACATCTAGATTGAAGATAGCGATACATAAGTCATCCCTGGAAAACATTCATGGAGAAAAGTGTAAGATGGTGCAGAAGGCACATAGCCCAAAGGGAACATTGGGGGCATCAATGTTATAGGGAATGAGGAAGGTAGTAAGGTGAAATGAATTTGTTAGTACAGTCAGGAACCACTAAATCATCACACTATTAAAAAGGAGTGGGCCATCTGGATGCCTCAGTCACTGGAGCACCTGACTTTTGATTTCAATTCAGGTCATGATCTCAGGGTTGTGAGATCAAGCCTCACACTGAGCTCCATGCTCAGGGGGAATCTGCTTGAGACTGTCTCTCTCCCTTTCCTTTTGCCCCTCCCTCAACTCATGCAGGCACGCACATCTGTGCTCTTTCTCAAAAATAAATCTTTAAAAAGCAGAATCTATGGAGAGTGAGTTTTCAATGATTGGGTTTTATTTTTGCCTTTTAATCTTGCTCATAGTTTCCTCTTTATTTTGTGGCAAATACATACATTCTTTTGACCCACTGCTACTCTTGAACCCCCAAGAAAGTTACTCCAAGGGTGAAGATGAGTTTTACATTTGTCTTCTCTCTTCCCACCCAGTGCTTGCTTATCAAGTTTCTGGAACTTGCTGACATTTTTCCCCATGCTTTATGGATGAGTGATTAAGGAAATGATATTTATTTATATTTCACCAAAGATGAGTTTTTCATCTAGGGAAACCTACTTTTCCAAGCTATCATGAGGCTGAAACATTTCCTGTTTCCAGCCTTCTTTCAACAGGAATTTTATTCTCTTCCATGAGGAAGTTCTCCTTCTCTTTGATATGTTAAACTCATGGGTGTTATGTCCTCATCAGTTTTTAGCATCTATAAGTTTTTTAACAAGTAAATTCATGCAATTGAAGAGTGTGGTTATGACACAGTGGGTTTGTGAGAAAGATGTCCAGATTGTAAATCTTTGGGTGTTCTCTCAGGGTGTTATCTGTGGCTGATTTTTAACTCTATTCCAGGTTCTATAATTCCAGTTAAAGTTGGTAAAAGCCATGAAATATGTTTTCTAGCAAATACAAAGGGGCTTTGAGTCATCTACTATTTTTCTTTCTTTCTTTGCTTTTCATTATTTTAAATAATCTGGGCATCTGATGTCTGGTGTAATGACTCAGTCATAGAATTCACTGCTAGCTCTCTCCAGTGCTATACAATCTAATTGAGCATATGAAAAATTTGCAGTTCAAACTGTATATGTCAAATTGGTTGCATACAGATTAAATGAAAAAAAAATCAATGGATTTAATGTTATCAGCAAAGGTTTCAATACATAGGTAGGACTTAGCCTGGGACTTAAATATGAGAATGGATTAGCTTGGAGGGAAAGAGGGAGATAGTGTCACATAATGATGTGAGGTCAAAAAAGTGGTAGAAATGTGTAATACAAATGGTCAATGGGGAATAGCAGTGGCTGGAACTGAAAGCAGAGTCATATCTTATTCTGTGTGCCTTCATGGACATCTTCCAACTTGCTAAGTATTAATTAAGTAAATGCATGGATTTTTCATCCCAGCTGTTTGCCAGTCTCCCTGCTTAAATGGTGGAAAATGTGTAAGACCAAACCGATGTCATTGTGTCTCAGCTTGGACAGGACATGACTGCTCCAGGTAAGGCAATTAAAAATGAATGTTTATCTATAATGTAAAGAAGTTAAAAATCAAGTTAAGTTTGTCGCAAAAGCTGGAAGGTATCTCTAGTTTAAGTATAAGCTTTTTGCATCCAAAAATGTCCATTTTCAGATCCTCTAAATTTGAACTAGAGCCAACACAAAGAAATATTCGTTAAGAATTGACAAAGTGATATCTCGAAAATAAATAATCTTGTACTCATCTGGGCAGCACGTAAACTGCCCAGATGGAACAGCTGTTCCCAGATGGAACAGTTCCAACTCTTCCAGTTGGAACAATGTAGAGGGGGTTAACATGGCCCCTTTAAAAGGATAACATGCAAATTCATGAAACATTCCATAAACATTTCATAATTTTCCATAAAAAGGGGTTAATTAAATAAATTAACTGCCCTCTTGAACAGAAGATTACATCATTCATATGTAAGGATGTAAAATAAATAATAAACTCACTACATCATATTGATGTTCATTTGCATTCCTGATTACAATAAAAAATAGTATTGAAATTGACAAGGAATGTTTGTTTTTCAAGTCAAAAATCTTGTTTCATATTTCTAGTATATGTATATGCAGTATTTAATTGACTAAAGAAACTTATGTAAAAATATGTCTGTCAATTGGTTTCTCATTTCTAACCAGATAAATATCATGGCTAAGAAAAGATTATCACAAAAATAAGTCTAAGGAAAAATAGTTAAAAATAATTTAAACTTTTTTTTACGAAGTATCTTTGATATACACTACATTAGTTTTAGGTATACAACATAATGATTTGATATTTGTATATATATTGCAAAATGATTACCACAATAGATCTAGTTAGCATCCATCACCCCACATAATAACATTTTTTTCTGTTATTGTTTTCTGTTATTATTTCTGTTAAGAACTTTTAAGATTTACTATCTTAGCAACTTCCAAATATGCAATATAGTGTTAACTATAGTCACCATGCTGTACATGACATCCCCATGACTTATTTATTTTATTTATCTTTTTGACTTATTAATTTTATAACTGAAAGTTTGTATCTTTTGGCTCCTTTCACACATTTCACTCACCCTCTCCCCACCCCCTACCTGTCTCTAGCAGCCATCTATCTGTTCTCTATCTGTAAGAGGGTTTTTTTGGTTGTTTGGGGTTTTTTTTGGGGGGGGGGTTTAGATTCCACATATAAGTGAGATATGGTATTTGTCTTTCTCTGCCCAACTTACTTCACTTGGTATAATGCCCTCAGAGGTCATCCATGTTGCTGTAAATGGCAAAATGATATTTTTTTCATGGATGAATAGTATTTGTGTGTGTGTGTGTGTGTATCACATTTTCTTTATCTGTTCATCAGTGGACACTTAAGTTGTTTTCATATCTTGTCTGTTATAAATAATGCTGCAATGAACATAGTGGTACATATATATTTTCAAGCTAATATTTTCATTCTCTTCAGAAAATTACCCAGAAGTAGAATTGCTGGATTATATGGCAGTTCTATTTTTAATTTTTTTTATTTTTTTGAGGAACCTCCATACTGTTCTGCATAGTTGTACACTGTTGGTGATTTACATTCCCACCAACAGAACACAAGTGTTCTCTTTTCTCCACATTCTTGCCAAAACTTGTCACGTCTTGTCTTCTTGATAATAACCATTGTAAGTGTTGTGAGGTGATACCTTGTTGTGGTTTTGATTTGTGTTTCCCCGGCAACTGATGATGTTGAGCATATTTTCATGTACATTTTGGCCTTCTGTATGTCTTCTTTGGACAAATGTCTATTCAAATCCTCAGCCTATTTTGAATCAAATTGTTTGGGTTGTTTTTTGGTTTTGGTTTTAGGGTGTTTTTTGGGTTTTTTTGTTTGTTTGGTTTTTTTGTTTGTTTTGTTTTTTGTTTTTTTGCTATTGGGTTATATAAGCTCTTTCTATATTTTGGATGGTAATCTCTTATCAGATATGTGATACCATGCAGTAGGTTGCCTTTTCATTTTGTTGATGGTTTCCTTTGGTGTGCAAAATATTTTAGTTTGATGTAAACCCACTTGTTGATTTTTGCTTTTGCTGTCAAATCAAAAAAAAAAAATTCATTACCAAGACCAATGTCAGGAGCTTGCCAACCATGTTCTCTTCTAGGAGTCTTATGGTTTCAGCTCATATATTCAAGTGTTTAACTCATTTTTGGTTAATTTTTATGTATGGTTTAAGAAAGGGGTCCAGTTTCATCCTTTTCCATGTGGCTGTCCAGTTTTTCCCCAATACCATCTGTTGAAAAGATTATTCTTTCCTCACTGTATCTTCTTGGCTCCTTTGTCATAAATAAGTTGACCATATATGCATGGGTTTATTTCTGGGCTCTATTCTGTTTCATCGATCTATATGTCTATTTTTTATGCCAACACTATGCTATTTTGATTACCATAGCTTTGTAATATACTTTGAAATCAGAGAACATTATGCTTCTAGCTTTGTTCTTCTCTCTCAACTTCGGGAAATGTCAGACATACTACATCATACAATGGATAAAATATTTTCAGTATTATAACATCATCCTCACAAATGTTGAAATGTCAGAATATTACGAGCTCTATTTTGAGACTTTCATTATATATTATTGTATTACATCACTTAGATTTGCATTATGTATGCTTACTTCCATCTTATAATAGTCATTAAAAACAAATGGATATTTTCATATTCCCTTTAAAAAGTGGGAAATTTAGTTAACTGAAAACAACTCTAATTTTTCCATTTCCTTTTATTTCATTGTGATGAGAATATCAGAGTCAACTTGCAAAGACAAAAATTTATTAAAGTCCAAACTTGATTTTAAAAAAAGTCAGTCATGTGCCAATGAATTTCTTCATATCATCTTAAGTATATGCCACCTTTGCAGAGAGAAAAAAAAAAACAAAGAGCAAATTTGGATTATATATGTAGAAGCTTCCAAGATAAAAATGATAGTTTTACCTGAGAGCAGAGTTGAAAGAATCGAAGAAAATGAAAATCAAGCTGGAATGAATTTCTGGGGAAAAAAGGAGAGAGAAAAAGGAAAGATAGAAGGAATAAGAATGGCAGTGACTCAAAAAGGAACAGGAAGTATTTATAACATTCTTAAAATTTTAGACTCTCTACTCAACTCCATCTTGTAGTTAAGAAAAGGACCTCCAGAGTTTGTTTGTGTGGTTCCCTAACATCAAAATACTCCCCATAAGAGCTCTTTCTCAACTAGGGGAAGGATAACTATTAACTTTTGTGAAAATATTGTCTACTAATAAAGAAGACAAAATCTAGATTTTCTTATGCAAAAGTTCGATAAAGGAATCCATATGTGTATGTTCAGCAAAATAAGCTCCGGGAGCATATCCCACATTCAAGGAAAGGTCATCTTCAACCCAGAAGACTGGGTAAGCCCCTGCCTCCTTGTACTGTGAGCGATTATCCTAGGAGAAACATCTTAGTTAGGACTCTCTCACTGTAACTTTAACTTGCTCACTTAAAGAAAGGAATATGTTATCCCAAGAGAAGGACCGTGCATCGAACCCAAAGATGTGAGGTGCCTAAGCATTAGTAGGACCAGACTGAGGACTTGAAAGCCACCTAAGACACTCCACTGCCCATCTCCCCTCCTCTCTCCAGTGCCTGCTCCATCCTCTGCAGTGTGGTTTTCTCTGCTACTCAGTTCAAGTGGAAGGACCGACCTGCTTACAACTTCCACATTTTACAGGTCATACCACAGCATCCACAGAAATAGAGTGCTGACCCAGTTTAAAACTCCAGGAGAAGAACTGGCTACTCCAGATCTATGCAAGGGCCCACGATGGATTCGTGAACTGTGGTCCTAGGCTGAGTTACTCTGTACTAATGTGAAGGGTCATTTTGTCAAAATCTTTACTTTTGGGGGAAAGGGGAAAGGAGGCTGACGATTCCACGAACAAAGAAAGGTGGAATGTGATTCCCTGAAATGGGAAGAGGAGAAAGCTTTTCTGAGAAATCAAAACAGTAAATGTTTCCAAGCATGTTTTTATTTCCTTCTCTCCCACAAGATTGCATCCCTCCTACTGAGTACAGGCACAAAAAAACAATGCTCCGTAAAGCTTGTTCACAGATGGGGCAGTTTCCAGGCAGCAGTAGCAGCTGGTGGTGAAACGCCCTGTGACATCCATTAACCCCCTCAACCTATTACCTGCTCTGCTGATGAGTAAGACCGACCCAGTATTGTTCCCAGGTAGTTCCATCTTTCAGAAAGAAAGTGCCTTTCCTCTGATCTCCATGTGAATCTTCAGAAAACTGATCCTAAATAAATGCCATAAATAAAAACAATTAACTTTTAATGCCATAAGGGGCCTTCAGATTTGAAGTCCAAACTCATCGTTTTACATATAAGAGGATTATCAGACAGGAAACTGAGCCAGGATCAAAACTCAGGTTCTGCTGATTCTCGGGTCTTTCCGTAAGATGATACGTGTTCTCCGTGTTATTCTGACCCGCATCCGTACAAAACAATGTCATGGATGATGCCCAGGCATCTGAGACTTTCAATCCTGAGTGAATCAGCCCCTAACCTATTACCTCTTTGGTTCAGTTCTTCTGTTGAATCTCTTTGTCTTTTGTTCCAGGAAAAGGAGGACTGGGTTTTAACAACTGCACAGCCAACCCGCTCTCCTAAAGGCAGGATCATCTCTTCCTGGGAGTCCTGGGCATCCTTGAACTTATGCAAAGAAATTCCAACACGGTGCTGGGTCTTGTTTTGTTTGGTAAACTTGTTATTTGGGGTTTGCCTTTGTATTTTGTGTTCTATTTTGTTATTCCTTGTGACATACTTTCTTACATGTTTCCATTTTTAAATATGCTTGTATTTTCTAAATAAAAGTATATTAAATCGATGCTGCTCCACTCACAAAATGTACATACTCTGCTGTCTACTGGGGAGGTTCCCGCTACACATTTTTATTCGGTTACTTAAAATGATTTTTCAATTAAAATATATTTTGCTATTAAATCATATTTGGCTGGATAGTGCCATTTTGTGAGATGTCCAGGAAATAATGAAGAGGATAAAGATCTTTCATCCATGCTGCCGACACAATGCAGGATTACATGCAGCATATGGGGTACCTAGAAATCACAATAAAGGAGACCCCTCTCATTCCAGTTCCATCTTCTCTACATGATGGGAAACAATAAAGGTTTCCTTTTATTTAGTCAGTGGGTAACTATTGGACCTTATCCTCCACACAGAATGCTGCCCTGGTGCTGAGGGCATCCTGGCTAATTCCTTTCCCAGCGTTTGGAAAGCTATAGGCAAACACCTTAGTGGATGGAGGAAAAAAGTATGATCATGGCTCACAAAACAAAGTGCTTCCCTTCCTTCTCAAGGGTGGAATTATAAATGCAAGAACCGGAAGATTAATACAGAGCCCGCTACTGTGTCATAATCCCACACCTCACTACTTTGGAAGGTAGGAATAGCAGGACAGAGAAAGGGGTGGAAAAAGGCAAAGGGGAGAATTTGCCCAAAACTGTGTGTTTGTGGAAAAGAATTGAGGCTGCCCCTCAGTCCCCACTAACTCCATCACTGTACCTCTGCCAGGATACTTTCCCCAGACTTCTGGAAAATGAAGCCAAACACTAGATTCTGTTTAAAATAGGAAAAATCACAATCAACTCACCTTGATCCTGGGAGAAATGCTCCCAAATAGGACATAGGGTGCATTGTAACACTATGAAGAAATGCAGGAACAATGAAAAAGATCTTGATTGTCCTAGTGATTGTCTTCACTGCCCTTCACCTCAGCCCTTGACTTCTCCTTCCGTCTCCTGACATTCACTTTCTTGACTAATTTTACATGCTTATAAGTATACCTTTTATTTAGCTTATGGATGTCCCATCAGCCTCCACAAACTATGTTGACCTTCGTCATTTATCATCATAAAATCACAAAATGAAAGCCAAGTAATAAAAAGAAAGATGGTACCAGAAAATCTAAGCTGGGGAAAGCTACTGCATCTGAAAACAAAACTCAGCTCTGAAAATGTACCTACTAAGTGGAATTTGTATTGGGTTGCTTTGGATAGATGACAAATGACATCTCATATCTGGAAATGTGAGTCACAGTGTCACAATACCAAAATTAACTGAAGAATGTTACTTTTTAAATTTTCAGGACTGCATACATTCATAGTGAATTCTTAAATTTCTAAAAAGGAAGTAAGGGTGTTTGTCCAGCATACTAAAGCATATCTGTTTCAAACCAACTATAACTAGTCCTGGAGTGAAGTATTAAATGTTTCCCATTCACATCAGAAGTGAAGCAAAAAAGCTATCTCCACTGATGTTTTAACCAAAGTAGTAATACATAAATTTATCAAATAAATAAAAGGTATACAAATGAGAAAATTAAGAGGCACAGTTTTTTATTCTGGGAAAAGGTATGGTGATATACCTTATAAAATGAAAACCCAAAGGCATGAAAATTCATTTAAAAACACTGAGTGCAATAAACTGCATGGTTACAGATAAGTATACAAAAAGAGCTTTCCTAAATGTCATTTATAAATAGGATATATAGTAAAAAAAATCCTATTCACAATATCAATATATACATACATATTTATGTATGTATGTGTATGTATGTATGTATGTATTATATAAATAAGAAATACATGTGACCTTAAGGAAGAATATTATAAAATCGTATGTATAAACATTTGTAAATGCTCAAACCACAAGAAACCTGCCATTTCCTCAATGAGAGAATAACATATCTTAAAGATGTTGATTTTTCCCAAATAAAATTATAGGCATAATTTAATTCCAGTCATACTTGCCATATTGGATTTTTTTTGAAGCATGACCAAATTACTTACTCTAATTAGAAAATCAAAATATTTCAAAGAAAAATAATGAAAAGGTCCACTTTACTAAAAACCAAAACAATTAAAAGCTGCACTAATTAAAATAGTGCACAATGAATCAAGAATCACAAAGGCATCAGTGTGATAGTCTGTATGCATAAATTCAATTTTTTGCTTAAAAAAAACTTTCAGCAAAGTTTAATATCCATTTTTTTATTTTTTAATTAATTATTTATTTATTTTTTAATATCCATTTTCAATAAAATCTCTAAAACTCATACTGGAAAGGTACTGCTCTATGAGAGTAAGGCTTTTCTCTTCAAACTAATATCCAGGATGCTTAGTAGAAGCTGACTAGCAAATTAACTGAAGTCAGTGAGTTAGGGTATGCTGTGTCCAAATAAATCTTAAGTTCCTGTGGCTTCTCAAAAATGACAAAGGATGTAGCAAAACCAAACATGGTCAGGAGGAGACAAAAAACAAAGACTGACATTAACCTTGTGGACCTTGAAACCATTATGCTCTGTGAAAGAAGCCAGATGCAAAGGGTCATTTATTGTTTGATCCCATTTCTGTGAAATGCCCAGCATAGGCAAATCTACAGGGACAGAAGATGAACAAGGAGAGAATGAGGAGTAAGTGCTGATGGGTACAGAATTGTTTGGAGGGTTATGAACTATTCTGCAATTAAACAGTGGTGATCATTGCACAACTTTGTGAATATACGAAAAACCACAGAATTGTCCACTTCAGAAATAATTTGAAAATAAAATTTTAAGCAATCTGCAAAAGAAACAAAGAAATTTGACTACAAAATGTGAAAACTTCTCTCACAAGTCAAAAATTACCATTAACTGAATTTTAAAACCAAGCAAAAACATACATGACAAAATAATAATATTCTAAAATATTATGATTTAATAGATAACCATTAGAAAACACTTTGTTTGGGGCCGAGATATGCACAAGCAATTCACTAAAGAAGAAATACAGATAGAAAAAGGAGCAGTCTCGTGAATTATAAAAGAAATGCAAATTAAAATAATACAGATTTTTGCCTACCAAATTGGCAAAGATTTTTAGTGGTGGTGGTGGTAGTTTTGTTTTAAAGATAATACGCAGTTGGCTATTAAATAAAATCATTTTCTTGAACTTCTCTAGGAAATGTACAACCTTCCTCCAAAACAATTGGCAACATGTATTACAAGCTTTAAAAATATGCATGTGGATTTCTTACCTCAGTAATTCCTAGTCTGAGAAGCAATCCCATTAAAAAAAAAAAAATCTGACTTAGGGGCTCCTGGGTGGCTCAGTTGGCTAAGCATCCAACTCTTGATTTTGGCTCAGGTCATGATCTTAGGGTCCTGGGATTGAGCCTCATGTCAGGCTCCACGCTCAGTAGGAAGTCTGCTTGAAGATTCTCTTGCTCTCCTTCTGCCCCTTCCCTTTGCTCATGTGTTCTTAGGTGCTGTCTCTCTCTCTCTCTCTCTCTCTCTCTCTCATTGTAAGTAAATAAATCTTTTTTAAAATATCTGACTTAGAGGTAAATATTTATCTACAAAGACTTCAACAGCATTTTTAATATTAAAAATTAGCAACAGCTTACATGACTAAAAATCCTGGAATTGGTTATGGAATTCATGGTATATATATATATATATATATATAGGATTGAATATAATGAAGCCATTAAGTATTATATTTACAAAGAGTTTTAATAACATGAAAAATCATTATGGCATAACATTCAGTGGAAGATAGTATACAAAATGTGCTTATGGGGTCGCCTGGCTGGCTCAGTTGGTGGAATGTGTTTCTTGATCTCAGGGTTATGAGTTCAAGCCTCACATTGGCTGTGGAGATTACTTAAATATAAAAACTCTTGGGGATCCCTGGGTGGCGCAGCAGTTTGGCGCCTGCCTTTGGCCCAGGGCGTGATCCTGGAGACCCGGGATCGAATCCCACGTCGGGCTCCCAGTGCATGGAGCCTGCTTCTCCCTCTGCCTGTGTCTCTGCCTCTCTCTCTCTCTCTCTCTCTCTCTCTCTCTCTCTCTGTGACTATCATAAATAAATAAAAATTTAAAAAAATATAAAAACTCTTAAAAAACAACAAATAAGTGCTTATAGTGTGTTCTCTATTGCCTAGAATATGCATATGCAGTATGCATAGGAAGAGATTTGCCAAACTTTCTTAATGATTTTCCCCAAGACATGGAACATTGGGAAATTTTTATCTCTTATACAAATTTCTCCTTTATTTATTAATTTTTTGCTGAAACATGCAGAGAATTTATATTTATCGCATATGTTAATATTTAAAGAACAGAGTCACATATAGAAGTTCAGGCAAGGTATTAGTACGGTTCAAGGACCAACAGCAATATTTTGAAATATATTTTCAATGAAATATGTTTTCAATGAAAATATATTACTTTTATATTCATAAGTATACTTTCATATTCATCAAAAGTAATCTTAAATTCATAAAAATTAATTGAAGTAAAAGCCCCACACTAATGCATAGGTCATCTTTCTATCTACCCTAATTAATCTGGCATAGGCATTGGCATAATTTGAAAGATCTTGTCTTCATAAAGTTTTGTTTAAACACTTCCTCAGGGGCACCTAGGTGGCTCAGTTGGTTAAGAGTCTGCCTTCAGCTCAGGTCTTGACCTGAGGCCCTGGGATGGAGCCTCATGTCCAGTCTCTCAGCAGGAAGTCTGCTTCTTCCTCTCCCACTGCCCCATTCCCTCCCCTCTCCCTGCTCCTGCTTTCTCTCTCACACTCTCTCTCAAATAAATAAATAAATAAGTAAATACAATCTTAAAAAAACAAAAAACAAACACTTTCTCAGGAACATTTAGAGAAGAATTCAGATCAAGGTGATCATTAGATTAATAAAGATGGAAACTGCTACCCAGAGGAAATATATATAAATTTTGAGCTACATTTCTGCACCTGGGAAAAATATTCACTGATAATCAAATTGAAGGATTTAACAAATTAATTTTGGGGACTGTTAGTGTATTTTTACAGTATATTCTTGTGCTTCATGCTCCAGACTGAATGTAAGAGACTGACACAAGATTGCAAATTTACAGGCCAGATTACATCAGAATTACTTTCTTATGCTTCCTTAGCAACCAA